TTCACGGACAATATGTTGATGGCAAAGGCGCTATCGTGTGACGTAGTGATTGGCTGACATCCGATATCCACAAACATAATATCACACACACATGACACGGCACTAAGCGTAGTTGTGACTTCCACCCTTGATAATAACGTTAGAATTAACCTTTTTATACCTCAAAATTTAAAAAAATTTGTTTAAAATGATTCTGGATTTAAATATTAATATTCGAAGTTAAAAATAATAAAAATTAAGCAGTTTTGTAACCTCCGGTGTCTTATGGACTCCAATTAATAGCTTACACATTATGATCATTTTAGGATTATGTACACTGTTATATCTGGAATGAATAAAAATAGACCTATCTACCTAATATTGACCTATCTTATATTTCTAATGTACCTACACAAATATATAAATATTAAGTTTGTCAGAATTTGTCTAATAATTAATGTGTAAATTTATACACTAATAATTATTTTATTATATTAAAAACAAAATATTGACATATTATTATGATAATAAAACAGTACTGGATAGTACATTTTAATATTTTGTGATTTATGGAGTTATTAAAGATTTTTTTTTTTTAATTTAAATAAGGCTTCAACTCCTGAGGTTATTAGCCTGTAACAATTACAAAATAGTGTTAATAGGACTTAAAACTATGGGGATACATTATGTTTAATAATAGAGGGAGTTTATAGAATATATGTACATTTGGTTATTTTTCTAAATTAGTTTTGCTAAGCCTATTAAAGATTTTATATATTTAATTTATCATAACTCTACCTACCTACTATTCCATTTATTCAAAAAAAAAAAAAACATGATTTTTTATTTAAATGTTTTTTTTTTTTTTAATAATAATATTAGCTACTTGAAATTTGATTTTCTTACAATTCCTGTTTTTAAGAATAGGTTCATGTTTAATTGCAAATAAGAAATAATGTTGTGAGATTTTACGGAGTGCAATAATTTTTTTATAATCTACTCTTTTTTCTTCTTYTTTTTTTAAAGAATGTAATTATGTTTACTACTTCATTGAATGTATTAATTAGTGTTTTCAAGCGAGTCAAATATAAAAGTTAAATCAAATACCTAAAATAAATATTTTCGTTTTAAAAATAAATAAACAATGATAAAGTATAAAACCTTTCTATTTTTAAGTTTATAACCCTCTTTTTTATCAAACTAACATTCATTTTAATCATTTGAAACTAGCTCTGAGCGAAACTTAGTGGCCCGTTGAACTCGCTGAAAGKGGATATCGATTTTGGAATTATAAAAGTAGAAAGTTTTTTAGATTAAGATTAGGATTTGTGATAAGAATTGGTGATAAGGGCGATAAGGCTTCCGTCTTATATGCATAGATATATTAAACACCTAGATCACAAACTCATATTTAATATTGAAGCCAGACGCCATTGCCAGGTGGGGCAAAAATGATAGTAATTATCGATACTGAAAATCGATTTCGATTTTATCGATATCGATTACCGATGTTATTTATATTGATCCTTTATACATTAATTATTATGAAATAAATAATTATTATTACAACAAATTACAAAAAAAAAAAATATATAATAACTAATATGTATACTTACATAAAATAAAATATTATAGAACAGTATATTAATAGATAAGAGCAATGTTTAGTGTCTTGTATAAACATAATAACTAAATAGGTATATTATATCATAAAAAATTACTATTACAACAAATTATAAAAAAATGTATAGTAACTATTAAGTTTACTTACATAAAATAAAATATAATAATTATACACAATATAGTCATTTAGAACAACATATTAATATAAGAACCATGTTTAGTGCCTTGCATAAACATAATAATTAATAAATATATTAAATATAATATATAATTAAATAGGTATATTATTTTATGAATATAATACCAAAAATTATAAAAAAATGTACTTATAGTAAGTATACTAACATAAAATAGATATTGTTATACACATAGTCACTTAGAACAATATTAAAGTACATTTAATAAGTATTGATTWTAAAATATTATGGTTTTGGTTAATTTCTGACG